TCTCGCTTGCAGCTTTTTCCGAATTTAAGACTTGTGATCTTTGAACAGCAAGAGCAATAATGACGAAAACTAACTGCCAACTGATCTATGGCAAAGAGGTTGTTTTTGTGAAAACAACCTTCGACCGCTTTGGTATATAAGCTGTCCCGGTAAACATATGTAACCAGTCTCACGTCATGTCAACGCGCGAGGTTGTTGAAAAATGCGCTTCTTACGTTACCCCTCAACGGGAACATGTGGTAGGTTATTTTTCATCCACATATTTCAGTTTAACTCTACTCGGACTAGCCAAACTTAAAGTTAGATTTTTCTTGGAATACGAATATTAAAATTTTTTGGTAATGAGATGATGATTTTTGCTGACTGTTGAAATTTGCTGGATAAAGAAGACCGAAATTTTATGGAAAAAAGTTTCCTTAGTCTTCTAAAAATGTTTCATTTGAATTCCGGACCTTTAACACTTTTTGTTTGCTATTCAAGTTGGCATAGTTCAAATTCATAGAATATTTTTTCTAAAAAAAGCAAATAATGGTTTACTGTACTTTCAGAAACGGGTAAATGTTTCCAGTTCCGTAACATCTACTCATACAAGTGAACATTCACCTAATGTAAGCTGCTGTTAATTCTTCGCAGAAAACGCAAATGCGACATTTTTGAACTTTAATACAGTTGACAGTCTTATTAAAAGTATATTTTTTTTATAAATTTCCATATTCGAGTAGAAGTACCAAATCATCTTGACTCTTCTTTCTTTGTTTAGTTGCTCCTAACTTTTTCTTAGTGATTAATTATTGATTCTTTGCAAATACAGCTCTACCAATGCATTTTGAAGCTGCTGTTCGATAACATCAGAACAGCGATTAAACCAGTAAAATTTCATTCTTGACAAAAAGTTGTTGCTTTAAAGTACCACTTCCGATTCTTCTTTTGGCTAGATAAAAGTTCGAAAGAATAGAATTCAATGGTAGATAATCAGTGTTGCAATTAAGGCATTAATAAATTCCTATTAAGTTCATTACTAGTAACGTAAAATTTCAGATTCCGGTCCGTACTGACCAAAGTGGCCCGAACAGTCATGTTACTTCCCGGGAAAATACAAGTGAGAAATTTGTTCCAATTGTACATGCTGCAGCCACTCCAGGTCAAGACCTTTTGCAAGATCAACTAAACCAAGCTGGACAGTTGGAAACTGAGGCACAACGTCAGATAAACAGAAGAGAAGATGACCTGGAACGAATCAGGCAAACGAAACTTGCTGAACAGCGGCGTGTTGATGTACACCGTCGAGAGGCAGAGGAAGCTAGACGTGAAAAGATTTCGATTGACAAGTCGGTCGATGAAGGAAAAAAACGAATTTCAGAGAATGCGAAACAGATGAAAGATCATATTGACTGCAGCGCTCAACAGCGGAAGCAAAACATCGCGGATGCAGCAAAAAGGCAAACAGAGGAGCTAGAACGCAATACCCAAGCAATGCAAGACGTCGTCGACAGGAATGCAGAACAGAACAAAGCAGCATTTGAGCAAGCAGCGGTGCAAAAACAAAAGGAAAAAGAGGCGCTTGAAAGCAGAAGAGAGGAGATTGGGAAGCAAGCGAAAAACCTGAAAGGAATGATTAACGATGAAGCACAAGCAAGACAGGCCGGTCTGCAACAATCAGCTAAAAACCGAATTGATACCATCGAAAGAGACGCAAAAGCGAGAATTAAAGGAGCCGACCATATGGTCAAGGAAGTGAAAGACGATTTGAAACACAAGAAGGGGGATCTGAAAGAACGTATTGAAAATGAAGCAGAAAGAAAGAAGAGGTTATTGGAAAAAGCAGCGGAACATAAGAAAGAAGTCTTACAGAAAGACTACGACCAGAAAAGAAGACTCCTTGAGCAACAAGCTGAACAGCAGAAAGCTGAGCTGAAACAAACTCAGCATGACTTAGAGCGAGCGGCAAAGCAAGCCAAGAACATCAAGGAAGATCTTGGAAAAGACGTCAAAGAACGGAAAAAGCAAATCGACAAAAACGCTAAAATTGAGAAAGAACTGTTAAAGCAAGACTTGGAGAACAAAATAAATACGGCGAAGGATCAGGCTGCACATATTAAAGAAGATGCTGCCAATCAAGCTCGCCAGATGAAAGACCTTTTAAACAGTGAAGCGGAGAAGAAAGTAGATGACGTTGGAAAAATTGCTGCGGCCAGGAAAGCTGATGTTGACTTCCAGGCAAAGGAGCTAAGGAATATGTATCAAGAGCAGGCGCAGATAAGGAAGGATGCTGTAGATGCTACTGGACAGAAACTTGCCAATATTGACCTCAACGCGAAGGAAACTAAGAAGCAAATTTGCAAAGGAGCTGAGAAAGCCAAGGAGAACTTGTCGCAGAGAGCCGAACAACTGCAACTACGGCAAGACGAGATTTCGTGTCGACAGAAACAACGAATTGCAGGCCGTGAGGGGGCACTGAAAGATCAACTGCAACAGAGTGCTGATGCGATGAAATGCAGTTTGGAAACTCAGGCCAGGCAAAAGGAGGAAGCAACTCGTATTTCTGAAAAAACAATCAGCGGTATTGACGAAACAGAACGGCTCGCTCGTGAAAAGTTGTGTCAAGCTAAACAGGCCAAAGAAAGCGCACAAGCCGCCAGGAATTTGGTAAGTACGACATGGCATATTTGTTTTGTAAGCAACTTATGGTTGACTTTTCCTTTTTAAGCGGTTATAAACTGTTTAGACGGTAGAAACTGGTAAACAACTGGACCAGAGTACCTGGAAGAGGCCTGCCGGTTACGTGGTGACCGAAAAGGTGACTGAAACAACTGAAGTTCATCCAAGTGTTCAGAGTAGAACAGCTGAGCTACAACCTCAAGTTCAGAAGGTAACAGTCGAGAGTTGCTCAGACGCTGCTGAGTGTGAGAAAAAGGAACCGAAAGGACTACTAGAAACTGCTAAGGAAAAGATCTCAGATGCTGTTGGAGCAACCAAGGAGAAAATTAGTGACGCCTTCCGCGGCAGTGACTAAGCATGAATATGATGAAGGTGTTAACGATTCACGCAGTCATTCCGTCACGCCTGTGGTCACGGTCAAGCGCTGTGCTGCATAAACGCGTTGACTACTTACGCTGGTCTCTTCTCAACCTTTAATTGTTACTGAAGCTCTAACTCGTATTCCTTGTACATACAGTTTCATGAACGGAATACTCTGTACATATAATATATATATATATTGTTTTATACCTGAATCTTCCAAGAGGATTCAGACGTTGTGCAATGGTTATATTTTAAATAACCTAAATTATCGCAAGCGATCGATTTTATCCCCTATTATTATATCATGATGTTACTAAAAAAAGAAAAAGTCAGAATAATAATAAAGAAACGTATAAGGGAAATGAGTCAAGATTTACAGAGAAATCTGCAACAGGCAATAGCTAGTAATAGGAAGAAAAACAATTGCATATTCTATTTTCGTTATATATCTCACGACAGAAATAGACATTTCTGTGTAATATCGATTTTGAACACGTAGAGAGAACGATTTTGTTCTTGCTTCCCATTGAGTAAACAAGTAACCACATTTAAAGAATATTATTAATGGACATATACCTCTAACCTCATCAGTCTACCAACTTAAAATTCACGAAAGTGAAGCGTGCTAAATCACTGTCAGAAAAAATTTGACGGTAAAACTATCAGAACCATATGTACACCAACGGTTTGCAACCCAAAAAAAACAAATGTGCCGTTAAAAAAAAAAAAAAAAA